ACATGAAGGCAGAAAATGCCAATTGTACGTCAATAGTGAGGACCGGATGGCTCACTTGATTTTCGCTCCGGTCCCTCCTTCGGGATTCGATGCCAAGGCGGGCATCAGGGGAATTTTGCTGGAGCTGAAAGCGCAGGTCAACAGCAGCCTGTTCCATCCCAGCGATGACTCCGCCCTCAGGAGCCTTGTTGGAGGCTCCGGGGGTGTCGACTTCGCCGAGGGCCAGGTTGTTGTCCTTAAGGGTCTTGGACTGGGCACGGGTGGTTCTTCCCATTTTGGTAGGTGTTTTGAGCTGAAGGGGAGTGTTTCTTACTTGATTGTTCAACCTCTCAACGAGAGCACCAAATGATGGATAGTGTACCCGAGGGGTAGTTTATCCGAGGGGTTATTGCGGGAAAAACTTAGAGAGAAGTCACAGCAAATAAGTGAGAGAGAGAGTGTATATTCGATATGAATTCAGCGTGGTTTACAATGGAGAAATGGGCTGCTATTTATAGCAGCAATAAATGCTAGATAAGGACACGTGTCAATAATCTGGTGGTCGAGGAGTCACCTCAATTGGGGTGGCACTGACATTTACGTGTGGCTGCATTAAATGCGGTGGTTGGATGCGATGTTTGTACTTGGTACGGTGATTCAGGCGCATGTGGAGAGGATATTCTGTCGAGGGAAGTGCCTTCGGCTGAAGGGTGTTGGCCGAAGGCTCTTCTAACCGGGGGGCTCCGAATACCGAGGGTTGTATATGTCGAAGGCTTGGTTTCCAAGCCTTGTTCTCCTGTGATGTTTCTGGGTTCGATTCTGTCAAAGGTAGCCTTCGGTCATGGGGCCGAAGGCACCCCCTCGCGTATTGTGGGCTACTTAGAGCTTAATTTTGCTGGGCTTGGCCCGTTTGAGCCTGTTGGACCTGATTGCAGTTGTGGAAGTATGTGTGTCGGGGGTCCCTGGACCATATACTCCATCAATTAATATTCCTCAATAACATTATTTGGGGCTCCGATTTTCAAATGAAGGACATGGTTGGGCAATCCAACCATTGAAACACTATTAAAGATATTCGACATTGTAACTAAGATATGTAACTCCTAGGCAATCGATCCACGATAGCATGTATTTCTTGGTGTAACGTCTAAAATCATAGAACACTCCTCGTGTATCAGCATAGCTTCATCCCATATAATCAAAGACGCGACATGGAACAATTTTGCTTCCGCACTTCCTTGATGAATATTATAGGTAATGCGACAATGTTTATGGAAATAGGAAATCAAATGATGAGTTGCAATTAGCTTTAATAGTAGAAGACATGGGTGGAGTTTATTTAATATATATAACTAATAATAATTACTTGCACTGTCCATTTTTTACAAAATTTTAGACCTCAACGTGCTCTTGTGATTCCATTTATTTGAATAAAATGATACAAAATCATTATATACTAAAAATGTTGATTTTTACACTAATCACGTCTTACTTTGGTAATATTTTATTTATTAAGGTATTAGACATTTTTGAAAAATATTTATAAATTCATCCCAATTTAAATTTTCAAAGATCTCATCTTTTTACTTACAAAAAATTGTATATATTAATAATCAAGGTAGTATATATGTTGGCAAACGTTAAATGGAAGTGTTGTAACTAAAAAAGAATGGAGAAATATATAAAAGATAAACTTTTCGAGAGCATAAGTTGGCCATGTCATTATTATATACTTCTAATTAAGTCAATTAATTTTTTAAAATACTAATCCTATAATTTTATGGAGAATATAACAATATAGATAAATATGATTTATCTTTATATAGGAGAATCACACAATGTGTATGTACTCACAATTACTTACTCCGTCCTAAAAAAGTTTCATCAAATTTACTTTTCTTGGTCAATGACAATCAACTTTGACCAATAATATTTTTTAATACGAAATTATTTAGAATATGAAAATTATATCAAAAGGTCCTTTATTCAAAATATTTTCATAAAAGTATAAAATTTATAAATTATATAAAATTATTATAATAACTAAAATTTTAACAACGGAAGTTAAAGAAGCTCTGAGGAAGATGGGGCGGAAAAGAGCAATGAGGCCAGATGGCATACCGATCGAGGCTTGGAGAAGTTTGGGAGAGAGAGGCGTCGAGTGGTTAACAAGTTTCTTCAACATGATTTGAAGAAACAACAAGATGCCAACGAGTTGGAGGAAGAGTACTCTTATCCCTTTATTTAAGAATAAAGGTGATGTACAAGAATGTGCCAACTATCGAGGGATTAAGCTTATGAGTCACACCATGAAACTTTGGGAGCGAGTGATTGAGCAAAGACTTCGAAGGACTGTGAAGATTTCAGAGAATCAATTCGGTTTTATGCCTGGTCGCTCAACAACTGAGGCTATTCACCTTCTTCGTCAACTTATGGAGAAGTATAGAGATGCTCATAAGGATCTGCATTTGGTGTTCATTGACTTAGAAAAGGCATATGATAGGGTACCTCGAGAAGTTCTTTGGTGGATGGGCCTTAACTAGGAAAGGCATATCACACAAGTATATCAACATCATCATGGATATGTATGAGGATTGTACTACAAGTGTTCGTACTAGTGTAGGGAGGACTGAAGAGCTCCCTATTACTATCGGAGTGCACCAAGGATCGGCCTTGAGTCCTTTCTTATTTTCCATAGTCATGGATGAACTTACGAAGTCAATTCAAGACGATATACCGTGGTGCATGATGTTTGCCGACGATATTGTATTGATTGATGAGACGCAATCAGGTCTTAAAGCAAAGTTGGAAGTATGGCGACAAACATTGGAGAATAAGGGTTTCAAACTAAGTCGGAGCAAGACAGAGTACATGGAGTGCAAGTTTGGTGGAGGTAGAAGTAGTGGTAATAGCGGAATTACTCTGGATGGTAAGGAGATACCAGTCAGCGATATGTTCCGTTACTTGGGCTCCATAATTCAGAAGGACGGTGAGTTAGATGGAGATGTATCCCATAGAATCAGAACAAGGTGGATGAAGTGGAAGAGTGCGTCAGGATTTCTATGCGACCGAGGTATGCCGACTAGACTGAAGGGTAAATTTTATAGGACAGCAATTAGGCCTGCATTACTGTATGGCGTAGAGTGTTGGGCGGTGAAACAATGTCACATTCAAAAGATGAGTGTGGCAGAGATGCGCATGATGCGTTGGATGTGTGGGCATACTAGGAAGGACCGCGTGAGGAATTAGACAATCAGACAAAGGGTGGGAGTAGCACCTATTGAAGACAAGATGCGGGAGTCGCGCCTACGGTGGTTTGGTCATGTGCGTAGAAGACCGAGTGATGCACCTGTTAGGCGAGTTGAGATGTGTGGAGAAGAGGCAGGGAAGAGAGGGAGAGGAAGACCCAAACAGACGTGGGTTAGGGGAGTTCGAAGTGATATGCTTCTTCTGGGGTTAGATGAGGGCATGACTTTGGAGAGAACTAAGTGGAGGGCGGGTATTCACGTGAAGGAGTGATCTTGATAATCTTTTTCTCTCATCTTTTTTTTCCTAGTTTTTTTTATCCTTATATATATGCATTATTTGGAGCCTTTTTATTTTATCAGTTTTATATATATTCATCTTTTTTATATTATCTTTTCATAATAGCTTATCTTTTTATCTTTATTCCTTCTTTTCCTTTTGGTTGTGATATCATGTATCGATTCATGTTAGCCGACCCCAATATCTTTTGGGACTAAGGCTTGGATGTTGTTGTTGTTGTATTATAATAACTAAAATCATTGCCCCAAGTTTGCCATCATTGACTAAAAATAGTCAATATGACAAACCTTTTCGGGACAAAGGTAGTACTACATTATACCTTTTTAGTATTATTTGATTTTTTAAATTTGAAAATCTCAATTCGTATTTTTATTATTGTGAAAGGTAGTTTTATTGTACAAATTATTGTGAAAGGTAGTTTTAAATTTGAAAGGTAGTCCTACATTTCTCCTATTTTTTATATCGTGCATATGAATAACACCGTACAAATATGAAATAAAATTACTTAAGTTACATTGTCAAGCAAAGTTATAAAGACTATATTAGAATTAAATAAACGGTTGTCACATATTATTGGTGATCTGTGCATCGCACGAACTTGACATATAATATTAGTATATAAAGTGAAAGGAAGCGATCCAGTCCAGCTGGTCGCCGACCCACTCTCCCTTACGGGAGGTCTCGGGTTCGAATCTCAACGGAGTGAGTTTCAGTCTAGACTAGATTAATCCAAGCTCTCCCAGCCCCCTCCCCCTGGAGTAAAAAAAAAGTGAAAGGAATATGAACTATACAAAGCATTTCAAATATACATATTTTATTGGAACAAATCGATATATATATATAAAAGAGGAACTTTTTAAGAGCATACAAAGCGTCACATAATTCTGCTATGTCATTATATATAACAATTATTTACTTATTTTTATACCTTTTGTTTTTATTAGATTCTATTTTTGATTGCATATTGATATGGAAACAAAAATCCTTATAAATCTACCTTAATTATTCTGGTAAGCTTCAAATAAGTAAAATAATTTTTGGTTATCAAAGTGAAATTTAATAACGTTTATTGATATGGAAACTAATTTATATTAGTTTACTACACCGAATTAAATAGAAACAAATATGCAAATTAGTTTACTTATTAATTTGACACCTATTAATAAATTAGTAAGCTTCAAATAAGTAAATAATTAAAAATGAAATTAAAAATTATAACCAACATAAAGTATATATATTTTCACAAGTAAATATGTTTAGCGTAGCCAAATAAGTAAATTTTTTTGGTTGTTTCTTTATTTTATTTACACCTAAAATTCAAATATGTCTTCACCTTTGAAATAGACTAGATTCTCGATCACCCGTGCGATGCACGGATGAAAATTTATCAATGTGTGATTAAGAGCTCTATTATAAAAATGCAAGAATGATTAAACTCAGAAGAAAGTGGTAAGTAATATAATAAGTGTTCATAGTTAAAGAGAGATTAAAACATTGCCGAAGAAGGGAAAATATAAATATTATAAAAGAGATATAACATTTGAAAGTACAGAGTGGTAAGTAAAATAATAATTGTTCATAGTACAGAGTGGTAAGTAAAATAATAAATGTTCATAGTGAAACTACAAATTCTAAAAGACTTCTTTGTAAACAACATTAGTAGTATGATCGACCTCTTGATCATCCTCATCAAGATCAATATTTTTAACCCTTTGTGATTGGTAACTCTTGTGCCTGCAACGTAAAGTAGACCGTGTATGAAGACTGATTTTTAGTAAAAGTCCAACATGTGACAGAGATTGATCTTGATTCTTGTTTATAGTCATTGCATAAGAGTTCATTATTGGGAACTATCTTCTTTGAAACTTGAATGATATTCTTGCACGGGACATAAATAATGTAATTGTTATATCTCTTTATTTGTTAATATTATCAAATTATTAATTCATGTATAAATGTATCCAAATAGTAATGACGTAATCATCACCATCATCATTATCATTATTTCATTGCTGCAAAGGCTCTCACCTACGGTGGAATAAGGGGTGTTGGATGCACGCAGCCTTATCCTTGTACTAAAACACATAGCGATTGTTTCCGGATGACTATGGTGAAATCTTGTCGAAAATTGCAATGATGTAATATACATAATAAATTATAATTAAGAAAATAATAGTTAGGACTCATGCATGGGTAGTATATATGTTTTCTGACATTATATAAAACAATAATCATATACTACGTAATAAACAATAATAATGAGAATTGATTTGGTCAAGTGCGCCTGAGCAAATGTCCCATACTTCACAAAATTTTGGGTAGATAATCCACACTTCATCAAGAAAATGTTCACAAAATTTCATTAAAAACGATCGGGAAACACTTGACACGTGCTTGGCCGGGCAGGACTCCTCGTTTGTTCGGACTGATGAGATAAGTTCTTTAATAATAATATCTTAATAATAATTTTGATAATAATAATAAAATAAAAATTTTAAATTATTTATGTTATCAGCTTAACTATTAACTAACTCAATAAAAATTACTTGTATAATTATAATACTCCCTCCGTTCTTTATTATCTGTCCCGCTAGCTGTGGGCACGGGTTTTAATAGAAAAATAGTAGGGTAAATGTAGAGTGATGGATAGTCTACCCGAGGGTATATATCCGAAGGGTTATTACGGGGAATAACTTAGAGAGAAGTCGGAGCAAGTAAGTAAAAGTAGAGAGAGAGTGTATTCAGTATGAATGCCGTTTTCAGCGTGGTTACAAATGAGGAAATGGGGTGCTATTTATAGTAGCAATAAATGCCGGGCAGGGACACGTGTCAAACGCTCATTGGCTGAGGGGTCACCTCAACTGGTTGGCGCTGGCAGCCGCATGTGGCCGCATTTAATGCGGCTGTTGGATGGGACATCTGTGCGGGGTACGGTGATCTGTACGCATGTGAGGCGGATATCTTGTCGAGTGAGATGCCTTCGGCTATAGAGCAGTAACCGAAGGCTCCTCCAACCGAGGGCACCTTGGTACCGAGGGCTCACAGTACCGAGGGCTACTGTTTTCGCCGTTTTCTCCCAGTTTCTTAGTTTGCTTGAGAAACCCGTTCTGTGAGAGTTTAGACCCTTCGGCCAGGGGGCCGAAGGCACCCCTGGCGCGTAGTGCGGGCTGCTTGGTACTCTGGGCGCTGTGATTTGGGCCTGTTGGGCCTTTTGGGCCTGTTGGGCCTTCGCTGGAGTAGTAGGAGTCTGTGGGCCGGGGGTTCCCGGGCCATATACTCCATCAGGAGTCCCTCACTCCTTTTGCCGAAAGGTACTTGAGGGAAAAGGAGTAATTTGTGCTTGCCTTTTGATGTTGTCCCGTCGTGATCTCTGAAGTTGGTGAGGAGTTGTTGCTTTTATGTCCCTGCCGAAGGCAGTCCCTCAGTTACCCACATGTCGGGACTTGAGGGCTTGCTTTGTTGTTTGTTGGAATTTCACAGATTTTGTAATTTAATGATTTTCCCGAGGGGGTCCTCCAGTCCCCCACTCCTTGAGGCACTTGTAAAGTGGTGAAAAGGAGTAGAGTAGTTGCGTTGCTGTTGTGGGCCGAAGGCTGTTGTTTTTTCGTTTCATTTTGGGGGGATGCCTCGTTAAAAACCTCATTAGGAAAAACCCTTTGGGAAAAAATCCTAATGAGGGAAAAAGAGTGCACCGAATTCCCCCAATGATGAATCGAAAATGTCAAACCTTGGTACAAAGTGGAGAGTGACGGGAATGCCGAAGGCTCTCTCTTCTGAGGGCTCCTGTATTGATTAGCCGAAGGCTTGCTGTTGACGTCCTGGTGGCGCCGAAGGGGAGTCCCTCAATCCTTGGATCGAGGGCCTGCTGGATGAGGGCAGCAGTGGAGTTGTTACCGGGGGGTCCACTGTTTGTCGATTAGTTGGTGATGAAGGTACCCGAGGGCTCCCATTACCTGTGTGCCATGGGCCATCCGTCAATGAGGCAACTCCCCGGGGGCTACCCGGTTTATATTGTTGAGGGGGAATCCCCGAGGGGTGCCCTGATATGAAGCCTTGGGTTTCTGAAAGAGTGATCCCGATGGCGCCTGTTATGTGCTGTGTGGGGCACAACCCGGGGGCACTTCTGAGTGAGTATACCCGGAGGCTATCCTTGATGAAATGGAGTGAAGTAGAAAACCCGGGGCCTTCCAGAATATAGCCGTTGGAAATATAGCCGTTGGAATATGTAACGACGGGATATAGCCGTTGGGGGGGTGGCACACGTGGCGTGTGATGGCTGGCTGTTCGCGGGCGGCGTCACCGGTTGGGTGAAACGACGGTGTGTAATGATGACGGTCCATCCGGAGGCCCGGTTTCCGGGCCCAAGCCCGGATTCCAGCGCCTATAAATACCCCAAGGCCAGAACCATTCCCGTTGTGCGAACTCAGTTGTCTTAGCGAAGCTCTGCCAAAAAATCTAGTGAGAGAAACTCCAGCCTTCGGTCAAAACTCTGCTTTCAAGGTCAGTGCCCGTTTTCCTATCCAAACTTTTAGTAAGTCCCGCCCTCTGGCCTTAGATTAGGGTTAGTCTTGTAGAAACCTTAGACACACCTCGTGGTAAAAATGTCGTCCGAGAGCGATTCCCAGGATATCTCGAGGACGCCCTCGATGGAGGACGAAGGCATCTCCGACGTGGAGTCCAGCAGTGGTCAGCCCTCGGATGGTGGTGATGCAGCCCTCGCCACTGAGGTGCAGAAGGATCTGACGGCCGAGGCCGAGGCGGAGGAATTCGAGCGAACTGCCGAGGATGAAGAGTTGGCCCTCGCCGTCCAAGTTGCTGAAGAGGAGGAGGAAAAGGAGAGGGCGAAGGTCATTGTGGCCGTCCTTCCCCCTCGGGGTGCTGGTGAGGCCAGTACTTCCCAGCCGCTGAATGCAGTTCCCATCCGGGTGGCCCCCGGGAAGAAGAAGGCCAAGGCAGCTGTCCCCAAGAAGAAGGTTATTGCTGCTGATCAGGGGAAACCCGTAGATATGCCGGAGGGGTATTCCTGGCTCAACACGGCTGCGTTGGAGATAAAGTCGAAGGCGGACAGGGCGGACCTCTACGTGACGCAGCTACATGTAGGGCCCTCGGTCGAGGTGGTCGAACCGGGAGTTGACGACGTGCTCTCTCGGGCGCCTGAGGGGTGCATTGCAGTACACGTACTGTCGGTCTCCATGGGCCTTCGGTTCCCTCTGCACCCCTTCCTCCGGGAGTACCTGAGGTTTGTTGGCTTGGTACCCTGCCAGCTGACACCTAATAGCCACTCCTACGTGGCGGGGTTTTTAAACCTCTGTAGGGACCGAGGGGTGACCCCCAGCCTGGACTTGTTCTTCCAGAGCTTCAACCTCTGTCGAGGGGGTCACGCGAATGTCGAGGGCTTCGCCAACTTGCAGCAGGTGGCCAGGTGGAAGCTGTTCACGGAGGCGCCTTCGTCCAATAAGGGCTGGAAGGAGCGCTGGTGCTATGTCAGGGTTGTTGAGAACCCATTTCCGGCGGAACTTCGGGATCGCTTCCGTCGGCATCCGAAGGTTGGAAGCGCCGCCCTCGAAAAAGACGGCCTGGTGATAGCAAAAATCCCGGAGGGTCGCACAAAGCAGGTCTCCATCAAAGACTATACTGCCGATAAGGGATTATACGCCCTCGGCTTTCGGAGATACCGATTCATTGGGGAAGTGGACGAGAAGTACCCTATTTTTGCTGAGGCCTTCGGGGGAACAGGAGGTAGTCTACGAGGTCCCTCGGTTTTCATATCTTATCACATAGCTTATCTTGTTCGTGTTTTTTTTATTCTTTGTGCCTTCGGTCAGCGACCCCTCGATTTTAACCCCCTACCCTTTTTTTTGCAGGTGTCCCAGTGAAAATGATGAACGTCAGAGGCCTTGCAGACCTTAAGAAGAAAAAACCCTCCAAGGACCCGAGGGGGACGGACGCCAGCGTCCCAAAACCCGCCGGTGACTTCTTCAAAAAACCGGAGGGGCCGTCGGTGGGCCCAAGTACTGATGCTGCTGCTGCCGCCAAAAGGAAGGGCTCGGGCAGAGATCCCGAGGGCAAGAAGCCCAAGACCGGGGATGCCGGGAGAAAAGTCCCCCCGGTGATCATTGTCGATGAAGGCCCTGCCTCCGGGGCGAATGAGGACATGCAGGTGGCGAAAGTGCCGCCGGGAGTTCAGGGGCCATCTTCCGAGGTCCTCATGGTTTCCCTCCCGGCTGGTACGGCCGTGATGAACGGTACGGCCGACCCGAGGGCGCTTCTGAGAGGCATCACCCTCGAGATTGACAGAGTGGCCCTCGGGGCTGATGAAGACGAAGCCCTCGAGGACAGGATCCTCCAGTCTTCCCTCACAGTAAGTCTTTTATGTTTATTTCTTTCTTTTTTACTTCGAGCTAAGAAACCATGTTTGGCCTCGCTAACCCCTTTGTTTTTGTAGACCTGCATTGCCCTCGGGGAGCAAGCCCGACGGCTAGAGGAGTGGCGCCTTCGCAAGGCCGAGCAGGAGGCCAAGATGCGGGAGCTCATCCGCCAGAATGCAGACGCTGTTCGGCAGATGGCTATGCTGGAGGAGAGCCTTCGGCAGATGACCCTGCGGGCGGAGGCCGCAGATCGGGGTAGGGCAGAAGCCGAGAGGTCCGCAGCTGAGGCTTTGGAGAAAGCTGTCAAGGAAGCCGAGGCCGCGAAGGTGGAAGCCGTCGAGAGAGCCCGAGGGGACGCAATCTCGGGGTTCTTGGCAGGGGGGTGGCGGTCCGAGGAGCACAAGCAATGGCTGTCCTCAGTCGTCGAGTCCTCGGTCGACGAGTGGTGTGATGGGCCTGGCGTGGAGTGGGTTTCCCGAAAGGGTAAACAATACTATGATGGGGGCGAGTTTTTTACTCAAGCCCTCATCTACCGGAGGATGGCTCGCCACTTAAAGATCGAGCCAAAAGACTTTGACCCGGCAGCATACGGGCTCCCCCCTGCAGCCAGACATCCGCGTTCCTCTTCCCCCCGATGTCGAGAGGCCAGACCTGGAGGACTCTGAGCTTATGAAGGAAGCCGAGGGCGACGAACCTGAGGCCGACGCAGAAGTCACCTCGAAGCCATCGGGGGAGGCGGCCCCCGGGAATGACATGATTTGATATGTATTTTGTATCATGTAAACATGTATTTGTAATGATGACATTATTCATCCTTCGGCTTCGGCCTGCTTGTAACATTTGTTCGTATTACATTTGCCCACTGTTTGTTGATGATTGAATGATTGCCTTCGGGCTGTGTTTATATGATTTGTTTTCTCCAATTCCTTTCTTCTTGAATGCATGCCTTCGTTTTTGTTTTGGATGTATGTCTTTGCTCCTTTGAATGTATGTTTTAGGACTTAGAATTTTTTCTGATTGTAGCTTGCCACTGGAAGCCTTCGGTAGTTGGGCACCCTCTGCTGGATATGCAACCGAGGGTTCTGTAGGAATTAGGACTTAGAAAATTTTTCTGAGTGTAGCACACCATAGGGCCTTCGGGTGTTTGGAGTAACCCAAATCCTAGGACTTAGAAAAAATTCTAAATGTAGATTTCCCCTTGAGATCCTTCGGGATATGGCATCCCTTCCTGATGTGTGAATGTTGGACCGAGGGCCCAATGCACAGGACTTAGAGATTTTTTGCAAGTGTAGTATGTCATGTAGCCTTCGGCTACTGTGGAGCCCCAACTGAAATATTGAATAGGCCGGGGGCCAATTCTTTAGGACTTAGAAAATTTTCTTCAGTGTTGATTCCTTGTGTACTGTAGCCTTCGATTGATAGGCAGCCTTCGGCAATTAGGTCCCTTGAGATGAGGGTGAAATATGTAGGACTTAGAAAATCTTCTAAATGTAGAGTTTCCCTTGGGAGCCTTCGAGAGATGGCATCCCTTCATGATGTATGAGTAGTTGACCGGGGGGGAAATATGCGGGACTTAGAAAATATTCTAAGTGCAAATTCTCCCTTGGGAGCCTTCGGGAGATGGCATTCCTCCTTGATGTATGAGTAGTTGACCGGGGGGGGGAAATATGCAGGACTTAGAAAATATTCTAAGTGCAAATTCTCCCTTGGGAGCCTTCGGGAGATGGCATTCCTCCTTGATGTATGAGTAGTTGACCGGGGGGGAATATGTGGGACTTAGAAAATCTTCTAAATGTAGAGTTTCCCTTGGGAGCCTTCGGGTGATAGGTGCCCTCTGACTCCACATCACTTTGCCAGATGCCCGGGGGCTGCTCATTTAGGACAGGATATATTTTTTCAAGTGTTGTTGTATTGCATGACCTTCGGCTACCATATTCCCTTGGCTGTAATGCTGATTGGGCCGGGGGCCCAATCTTTAGGACTTAGAATTTTTTCAAGTGCTGTTTCCTTGTGTAGCCTTCGGGTGATAGGTGCCCTCTGACTCTACATTACTTTGCGTAAGTTGATGTTGAATCCTGTTGTTGTGAAGAAAGCCAATGAGGAGTGTGTGCCCTCGGCATACACTCTGAGGAGTTGTAGAGTTTGACTCAGCCAGTTGTGTCCCTTGTAATGGGGTAGGGGCCTTCGGTACATATTTGAAGGTACTGTCTTAGTGTACTTTGGATAGTCCAGTCCCTTTGTATTGTTGAAGCCTTCGGTGTTTGTGTGACCGGAGGTGACCAGGCAGTGGACTTAGCCGTTTCTTGCTGCTATCTGTTCGAGTAGTGTCCTTCGGGAAATAGGAGCCTTCAGTTACCGGAGGTGTTCCCGTGGGGAGCCCTCGGCTTGTTGTGATCTGTTGGAGTGTACTCTTTGATTTCTCGCTGAGTCTACTCCCCTTCACCCCCTCTTTTTTTTTTTTTTTTTTTGGTGGTGAAGGGAAGGCATCAAGAAACTTGGTTTCTTGGTAAGGCTGGGCCTATTAGGAGACTATCAGAATACACCAATGGCTCTCCTCCCTCGGGTTAACCTTCCGAGTTCCGAGGGGATCGAGGGACGTTTCCTGGGCACAAGATATGGTGGTCCGTAACCTGCCTCCCCTTGGGGGATGGCGCGGAAAGCGCCTCATTTTTGAAAGTCGTCCCCTCGGCGCTAGACATAGTCCGTGGCCTGCCACACCCTTGGGGTGGTGGCGCGGGGAGCGTTTCGGTTTGGAAGTCGAATCCTGGGCATTTCTCATGCCTGTCATACCCTGGGGGTAGTGACGCGGATAGCGTTCCATTTTTGAAAGTCGAATCCTGGGCATTTCTCATGCCTGTCATACCCTGGGGGTAGTGACGCGGAAAGCGTTTCAAGGAAGGGTTTTCATTTGCACACTAGTTGCAAATGGCCGGGGGCACTACGTGCCGCCGGCACCGATGGTGGCGCCTTCGGTATATGCGTCCTCGTGGGGTACGGCTTTTAGAAACAACACTTGATGTTAGTTTCGATGTGTAGCCCCCGGTACTTGGTACCGAGGGGTCTTCTGTAGGAACACTTGGTGTTCTCTTTTGTTGTAGTTGATGTAGGCGTCTACCCTCGGTACTTGGTACCGAAGGGTCTTCAAATGAAACACTTGGTGTTTCCCAACAGATGTTTGGAAGCTGATAGGAGAGCATATCCCTGGCACTGGGTACCGAGGGGTCTTCTTTGATGATGTATGTGATGGAGGTGTATCCTCGGCACTGGGTGCCGAAGGGTCCTCTGTAGGAACACTTGGTGTTCCCTTTTGCTGTAGTTGATGGAGGTGTCTACCCTTGGTACTTGGTACCGAAGGGTCTTCAAATGAAACACTTGGTGTTTCCCAACAGATGTTTGGAAGTTGATAGGAGAGCATATCCTTGGCACTGGGTACCGAGGGGTCTTCTTTGATGATGTTTGATGATGGGGGTGTACCCTCGGCACTGGATGTCGAAGGGTCTTCTGTAGGAACACTTGGTGTTCTCATCTTTTCTTTTTTGATGTTGAAGGTGGGGATGTACCCTCGGCACTGGGTGCCGAAGGGAAAATGAATTACATGGCGTTCTTTGTTGTTGGTGATAGGAGTTCCCTCCCTCGGCACTTGGTACCGAGGGGTTTTGAGTGAAAACATGTGGTGTTTTCACTGTTGTTGTAGGTGTTGATGGTGTCAGCCCTCGGCACTTGGTGCCGGAGGGGGTCTTCTCGTGGTGAGGCCTGGGGCCTGTAGTCACTGTTGTTGTAGGTGTTGATGGTGTCTGCCCTCGGCACTTGGTGCCGGAGGGGGTTCTTCTCGTGGTGAGGCCTGGGGCCTGTAGTCAGTATGAGGGCTTGATGTCTTGAATGTATCTTCATTCTTCGAATTGGAGGCCTTGGGCCATAGGATAGTACATTCACTAGTTATGAGGGCTTGGCGGCTCTTACATTATTGATAAAATTTAACTAAATGGTGTACATTCCAGTGCCTAGGGACTTCTTTCCCATTGGGGCGTTTGAACTTGTAGGTCCCGGGTTTGATGATGGCTGCTATGATGTAGGGGCCTTCGAATTTTGGTGCCATTTTTCCTCCCTCGGTTGGTTGGTTGGCTTCCCTCCTCCGGAGGACATAGTCCCCCACTTGAAATTCTCGGGTGCGAACTTTGGCGTCGATGTAGCTTTTAACTTGCCTTCGGTAGTTTTCTGCCCGGATGAAGGCCTGCTCCCGGCGTTCTGAAATGAGGTGGAGGTCGAGGGCCATGTTGCTGTCGTTGACCTCGGGGTCATATTGGATCACCCTTCGGGTGGGAAGGGTGACTTCCGTAGGAGCTTTGGCTTCAAAACCGTAGCAGAGGGAGAAAGGTGTTTCACCTGTTGCTCGCCGAGGGGTGGTGCGATAGGCCCAAAGGATGTTGTGGAGTTCTTCCACCCAGCCACCACCCTCGGCCTCCAGCTTCTTTTTGAGACCCTCGAGCAAGGTCCGGTTGGCATTCTCTACTTGCCCGTTGCCTTGAGGGTAGGCAACGGAGGAGAAGGTGTGTTTGATGCCCCATGCCTCCAGAAGGGCACAGAAGGGGGCTGCCTCAAATTGTGTCCCATTGTCGGAGATGATCTGCTGGGGGACGCCAAACCTTGTGAGGATGTTCTTGAGGACGAAGTGACGGCACTTCGCCTCTGCGATGCTGGCGAGGGGTTCAGCCTCCACCCACTTGGTAAAGTAGTCGACGGCCACAATGATGTACCTGTTGTTGGAGGTACCCCTCGGCAGAGGGCCCACAAGGTCTATCCCCCATCGAGAAAAGGGGACAGAGGTGCTGATGGGGGCATAGTTGACCGCTGGCCTGCCGGGAGCTTTCTGGAAATGTTGACATGCGGTGCACCTCCGGGCAAGGTCAGCACAATCCCTGGCCATGGTTGGCCAGAAGTAGCCCTGGAGAATGAGCCTTCGGGACATGGAGAAGGGTCCTTGGTGAGCTGAGCAAGTGCCACTGTGTACTTCCTCCATTGCGACCTCGGCTTCATCTGGATGAAGGCACCGAAGTAGCGTGCCATTGTAAGATCGTTTGTAGAGCCTTCCATCTTCGATGGTGTAGCTGGGAGCCCTCAGCTTTGCCAGTTTAGCGCGGGCCTCATTCTCGGGTAGTTGCCCTGTGGAGATGAAGGCGGTGATATCTGAGATCCAATCCTCCTGACGTTGTTGTATGTTCATAACGGGGCTTGCATGGATGCTTGAGAGGCTGAGTTCCTCGATTTTGGCAATTTTGGAGATGTGCTCGGGGGAGTCGGCCGAGAGCTTAGATAATATGTCGGCCTCGGAGTTCTGAGCCCTCGGTATTTGAGTGAGAGAGTGCGCCTCAAATACCTTAAGCAACTCCTTGGCCGCTTCCTTGTACTGCTTCATTCTCCCCTCCTTGGCCTCATATTCCTCGGAGATTTGGCCAACGACCAACTTGGAGTCGCATTTGATGTGGATCTGTCGAGCCCTCATGTTGGCAGCCAACCGAAGGCCACATAGGAGGGCCTCATATTCGGCCTCATTGTTGGAGACATTGAAGGAGAAGCGGATTGCATAGTAGGCCCTGAAGCCCTCGGGAGTAATGAGGACTACCCCTCCCCGCATGCTTTGGTCGCGGAGGAGCCGTCGGTGTAGAGGGTCCACCAGTCGTCCGAGGTTGCCGAGGGCTCCCCGTCCGTGGCTGCCCTTGCGGTACACTCCGTCACAAAGTCCGCCAGGGCTTGGCCCTTGATGGCGGGCCTTGGGCGGATGTCAATGTTGTATTGGCTCAAGAAGATAGCCCATTTCACCATGCGGGAGGAGCTGGTGGGGCTCCTCATGAGGGCGCCGAGGGGTTGATGGGTGAGGACCTGAACCGGGTGAGCCTGAAAGTAGTGGCCCAACTTCTTGACAGTCCAAACGATGGCTAACACCGTTTTTTCCACAGGGGAGTACCTGAGTTCGGCCTCCCTCAGGGTCTTGCTAAGGTAGAAGATGGCATGCTGGATGCCGTCTTCCTCCCGGATAAGCACAGAGCTGATGGCCGCCGGGCTGACCCCAAGGTAGAGGTAGAGAGTCTCCCCTACCTTGGGTTTGGAGAGCACAGGGGGTGAAGATAGATACCGTTTGAGCTCGTCGAAAGCCCCCTGGCATTCTGGAGTCCATAGAAAGCCAGCCGTCTTCCTCATGATCTGGAAGAAGGGTAGAGACTTCTCCGCCGATTTAGATAGAAAGCGGTTGAGGGCTGCCAGGCGGCCTGTCAACCGTTGAACTTCCTTCACATTGCGTGGGGGCTCCATGTTGATGATGGCCTGGATTTTCTCGGGATTGGCCTCAATACCCCTTCGGCTCACCATGTAACCCAAGAACTTGCCCCCTTGGACGCCGAAGGTGCACTTCTTCGGGTTTAGCCGAAGGTTGAATTTTTGCATGATGGCGAAGATTTCCCGGAGGTCGTCAGCATGGCTGGAAGATTGTTTGCTCTTGACGATCATGTCGTCAACATAGGCCTCCATGGTGCGCCCTAGGACGGCTTGAAAGACCCGGGCCACCATCCGGGTGTAAGTGGCCCCCGAGTTCTTTAGGCCGAAGGCCATCACTAGGTAGCAGAAGATGCCCTCGGGAGTCATGAAGGCAGTTTTTTCGGCGTCCTCCTCGTGCATAAAAATTTGGTGATACCCTCGGAAGGCATCGAGGAAGGACATGATCTCACACCCTGCAGTCTCATCCATTAGTTGATCAATATTTGGTAGAGGGAACGGGTCCATAGGGCACGCCTTGTTGAGATTGGTGTAGTCCACGCACATGCGGAAGGTAGGGGGCTTCTGTGCGAGGACTACATTTGCTAGCCATGAGGGGTATTTCACCTCCTTGATGTGCTTAATTGATAGGAGCATGGCGACCTCCTTCTTCACGAATTCCCTCCTCTCGGCGGAGAGGGGTCTTCTTCGTTGTTGTACTGCTTTTGCCGAGGGGTCCACCGAGAGGCGGTGGGTGATGACCCTTCGGCTGATTCCCGGCATGTCCTCCGGCCCCCATGCAAAGACAGTGGAGTAGGCGCGGAGGGCGTCGGTGATACCGGTCTTCAAATCTTCAGGGAGCTGGGCTCCAATCTTCACGACCCTCTCCGGCTGGGCCGGATCGAGCGCAAAGTCTTCTACGTCCTCGGCCGGTTCAGCCCTCGGCCTTCTTTCCTCTTGGTCGACGGCTCCGGTGATGGTGTCAACACGGAATTCCGTCTTGCTTACCTTCTTAGTGACCTGAAGATAGCAGGCGCGGGCAATTTTCTGGTTCCCCCGGGAGTAGCCAATGCCCCCCTCGGCGGGAAACTTGAGGCAGAGGTGCCTCATGGAGATGATGGCTTCGAGGTCCTCGAGGGCTGGCCGGCCGAGGATGATGTTGTGGGCGCAGTCAATGTTGACGACGACGAACTCCACCTCGAGCTGGGCTCTATGGAGCCCGTCGCCGAAGATCACCGAGAGGGTTATTACCCCCTCGGAATCAATAGTATCGCCGGTGAAGCCGGCAAGAGGGGTCTTAATGGGCCGAAGGGACCCCCTCTCCAGATGCAGCTCTCTGAAGGTGCTGAGGTACATTACATTGACGGAGCTGCCCGTGTCAACGTAAGTTCGGTGAATGATGGTGTCGTTTATCTCCGTCCGAATCACCAAGGCATCCCTGTGAGGAGAAGAAGTAGGAGGGAGATCCGCGTTGGTAAAGGTGATGGGTTCCTCCTCAGTCGCTTTACCGGGGGCATATGAGTGACTTCCCCCACGTAAAGCGATTGAGCCCACTTCTTTCGTTGGCTGGTGGAATCGCCCCCTGTATTGCCACCGGTGATCATGAGGATGTGGCATTTTTTCTCCTGGTAATGGGGGTATTCCTCCTCCTCTTCTTCTAAGTTTCCAATCTCCCTCTTCTTGCCGAGGGGGATGGTATTCGGGTTTACCCAAGCGTTCACCTTCGTGTGATGCCCTCGGGGAGGCCCCTGATGAGAAGGTCCCTCCTGCCGAGGGCTCTGGACAAATTGGGACAGGTGCCCCGCCTGTATTAATCTCTCGATGGCCGTCTTCAGCTGATGGCAGTCATCGGTCCTGTGCCCCTGGTGCCGATGGAAGCGACAGTAGGGGAACTGAGGGTTGATAGCGTGTACCTCCGGGGGTGCGCGAGAGTCGCGCTCAACGAGGCCCCTCTCCTCGGCAAAATCGAGGATGATGCTGACGGGGTGCGTCAATGGTGTCCGAGGGCGGTCCAGGAGAATGGGCTGGGCCCAAGTCTTAGGGTTGCTCTTATAACCTCCCCCGGGCTTGGCTTGGCCTTGCCGAGGGCGATCATCAGAGGGTCCCGAAGCCTTGGGGTGATTTGGAGGAGCCCCCGGCCCTCGGTTATGCTTGTTGTCAGCCCTCGGGGGCTGCTGGTCTGGATGCTGGTGATACTTCTCCACCTCCTCGGCCACAGCATATCGGTCCCCCCGCTGCAAAGCCCTTATGTAGTCGCGGGGGGTTTCAATGATGAGGCTCCTTGAAAAGTTACCGGTGCGGAGGACGGTTTGTATGAGGGCCAGGAGGGTCCCGTCATCAGCACCGTCGACCTTGTCGGCCTCCGTCCTCCAGCGCTCCAGGAAATCCCGAAGGGTCTCATCCTTCTTCTGGCGTATTGTTAGGAGGTGGGAGAAGTGCTTCCTTGTGCGACGCCTCCCGGCGAATTGTGTCAAGAACCGCTGGGTGAGTTCTTGCCATGAATCAATACAGCCCTCGGGCAGCCTGTTGAACCATTCGTATGTCGGTCCCTCTAAGGTGGAGAGGAACCATCGACACAAATATTCGTCTGACGCCCCCACCATCATCATGTTGTTCTGGTATTTGCTGTAGTGTTCCTGGGGGTCCGTTTTCCCGTTGTAGGGCTGTATGTGTTGCCCTCGGTATTTTTCCGGGATCCGGGCCGCCAATACCCTTGGGGTAAATGGCGTCCGAGTCCGGAGCTGGATGACGGGTTCCCCGGAGCCCTCGGCCACCCTCTTCTGTAACTCCTCCATTTTTGCCATCATGGCCTCGTATTTGAGATCTGAATGAGGGGTGGAGGTGGTGGCGTGAGCTTTGTTGGACTCCATCTCGTCAAGCCGGCGTTGGAGGGCCGCAATAATCTCGTCCCGGGGATCCTTCGGGAGGGTCTCCGCCCCCTGCGAACGAACCCGGGCCGAGTGGGCCTGGTTGATTTGGTGCCGAGCATCATCGGCATGAAGGGGTGCCTTGCCTTTGTCCCGAGGGGGACGCTCCTCGTCTGCCCTCGAAACAGATCCCCCGCTTTCCTGGGGCCTTTGGAGTGTTTTCCCCCCGAGGCGGTCTTGGACCCCTCGGCGGTCTGGCCCTCCTCCGAGCCGGTTGAGGGCGGAAGTACGAGGCCTTTCCCTGTTGTCATTATGGCGGTCCCGGGACTGAACTTCCTGGGAGGACGTATCTTGGGCCACCACCCCTTCGTCATTTCTCACCCGAGGGGTGGGATTTCCGAAGGGGTGTGGCAGAGGGGGAAGTATGATATTTTCCCCGATCTGAGGGTGAGCTGGAGCCAGGGTGCCGAAGGCACCCGGGTTCTGGGTGAGCGTCTGGATGAAGGCGGAGAGCGCCGATTGCACGTCGATGGTGAGAACCGGAGGGCTGACTTGGTCATCGCTCCGGTTCTTCTTTTTGGCCTCGATGCCGAGGCGGGCATCGGGGGCATTTTGTTGGATCTGAAGGCGTAGGTCGACAGCCGCCTGTTCCAGCCCAGCGATGACACCGCCCTCGGGAGCCCTGTGAGAGGCTTCGGGGGCGTTGACGTCGCCGAGGGCCAGGTTCTTGTCTTCTACGTTCTTTGAGTTGGCACGTGTTGTCCTCACCATTTTGATAGAGGGCTAGTGTTTTGTGTTTGGTCGAGGGGGAGGGTTTCTTACTCGATTGTTCAACCTCTCAACGAGAGCACCAAATGATGGATAGTCTACCCGGGGGTATATATCTGAAGGGTTATTACGGGGAATAACTTAGAGAGAAGTCGGAGCAAGTAAGTTAAAGTAGAGAGAGTGTATTCAGTATGAATGCCGTTTTCAGCGTGGTTACAAATGAGGAAATGGGGTACTATTTATAGTAGCAATAAATGCCGGGCAGGGACACGTGTCAAACGCTCATTGGCTGAGGGGTCACCTCAACTGGTTGGCGCTGGCAGCCGCATGTGGCCGCATTTAATGCGGCTGTTGGATGGGACGTCTGTGCGGGGTACGGTGATCTGTACGCATGTGAGGCGGATATCTTGTCGAGTGAGATGCCTTCGGCTATAGAGCAGTAACCGAAGGCTCCTCCAACCGAGGGCACCTTGGTACCGAGGGCTCACAGTACCGAGGGCTACTGTTTTCGCCGTTTTCTCCTAGTTTCTTAGTTTGCTTGAGAAACCCGTTCTGTGAGAGTTTAGACCCTTCGGCCGGGGGGCCGAAGGCACCCCTGGCGCGTAGTGCGGGTTGCTTGGTACTCTGGGCGCTGTGATTTGGGCCTGTTGGGCCTGTTGGGCCTTCGCTGGAGTAGTAGGAGTCTGTGGGCCGGGGGTTCCCGGGCCATATACTCCATCATAGAGTATGTAGGGTAAATAATAAAGTAGGAAAATGGTATATTAAAAAGAGTAAAGTAATGATAAAATAGGAAAGAGAGTATATTAAGTAGAGTAAAGTTATGATAAAGTAGGAAAGAGAAATTAGTTTGTGAAAATTAGTAAGAGTGGTAAAAGTAATAAAAGTGGGTGTATTTTATTAAAAACTTTCCTAAAATAGAAATAGAGATAAATAATTAAAAACGTCTCAAAAAGGAATGCGAGAAAGATAATAAAGAACGGAGGAAGTATTACGTAGTAACAACTATCACAGTGGGTTAGGCCAATGGATATTCTTAAATCAGATGAACTTCACATTATACGGCCTATTTTACATCTAACCCAATCCAACACTTTAAATTAGATGCTACCCAACAATCTAAACCTAGCCCACCCTATATAAACACCTTTACCTTTCGGCCATACCATTTACACTTCAGCCCCCCACGCAGACCATCAGTTCTTTTATACGTAATTCAGCCTCCTTCACAAACCATCAGTTGCTCAACCTCCGGCCTCTAGCTATGGTTCCATTCAGATTCTCACCATTCTTCTCCATACATGCTACATTCAGCCTCTCAAAATGAGATCATCTAAAAATCTGATTACAGCTTCGGCCTCTAGCTATGGTTCCATTCAGATTACCCGATGTTGACATTTTTCTGACCTTTGCTATAGCTACAGCGACAGAGTGCTTATCAAAGGATCTCAGAACTCTTCTTTCTTCACTCTGGTATATCCTATACTATTACTATGTCTATATTACTTTTTCTATACATGCGGTTCTATATGATTTTTCTTAAAAAAATATTTATTTTGCCAAATATTTATATGGTTTCAAAATAAGAGAATCTGTCATGAGATTAACTTACTAAAACTGCATATTTTTATAACTCCTATAGACATCTGTTCAAATCTATCATTTAGGTGCACATATCTACGAAAAGGGTAATGCTTATATTTTGTAACTTACCAAACTTGCTGCTAAAGAATAATGGTTTCATTTGTTCCTCGTTTCCTGCACATATCCAAATTTCTTTCAGCGTCTATAAAAAAATATATTTTAAACATCCTTCTAAAAGTCAGATGTGTTTGGTTTTCATTTACAAACCGATAAAATGATAATTTTTAAAAAAATGTGTTTACTACTTTTAACATGAATCTGTTGGAAGTTATAAATAGATGAAATCTGATGATGCTAAATTAATTTTTATGAGAATAGTATAGTTTAAGGCATTAATGTTTTAATGATTTTCAAATGTCTTTAAAAAAATCATAAAACACAACACATAGCTAAAAGTTTAATACGAAGTAATATTGTACTACGTAATTAACATTTTCTTATTCTGGCATTTTATTAGGTTATCGTGTATAGAAAATGTAATTAACATTAGGCAATTTTTTTATAAATCTTGCAGGTTTCGTTGGACTCCTTAATGTCTTATTCTTATTTTTAGCTATTAGATTATCGGTATAGAAAATGTATAATTAATAGGTTCTGGAACTATAAAAAAGGTTGCCAATTATGTACTATTCATACGGAAAATTGTAATTATCAATTAGATTGAAATAAGTTATGCATGTTTGAAGTTTGTGCAGCTTCAAAGGCAGGTATCAATAGCACCATTGATATGATATCACTTTATTGTACTAAGCATCAAATGAACAAAGATATGTTATTAGGCTTACATATCCTTGTTCTACATTTCTTTAGGAAGGTGGAGTGTCTTCCCCGAGTGGCCCTAAATTACTCTTTCTACTCTTTGATTGTTATCTTCAACTTCTTTAAGCGTCCTTTCAAGTTGTGATTTTCACGAAAGCATGCATCTGCTGCTTGTAAAGTACATTTGAACCTAAAGAGTCCATAACAACTAAAAAGAAACTGCATAATCATACATGGTAGAAAATTGTAGTAGAGTGGGCAAGAACACCTTTTTCTCTTTCAAACCCATCTCGGTTTTCAACTTCTTTAGACATATAATATGCCCTTGCACCTTTAACTTTGACATTGTTTGTGGATTTTTTGTAATCCACATCCTTGATGAGAGACCCACATTCATGGTATGGTGCTGAAGCTCCAAAACACATCATATTTATAGTCATATAAAGGAGTAGGTATCTGTATTCTAACTTATCACAGCTAGCAACGAGTTGTTTGCTTGTACATCACAATCTTTCTTTTTCAATGCATTACCTAGAATTAAATTTTGGAATTGCTTGTTTGTGGTGTGCTTGGACAACCCACCGCTTGGGTATTTATATTGGCAGATGAGAGTCTCATATCTTGTTATTGGGTAATTAACCAATGGTAAAATATATTACTCAATCTTTATTGAGATGTTGTAGTACAAATATTTAATGATAGTGTGGCTCAAGGATTGCATTCAATGTTTGTGTGGCTCGAGGTTCCTTTTCAGTGATTAGCTCACTTTTCGAAATTGAGGAATAATTAACAGCAAACATATTATCTTTATTGAGCCATTCAATTTGTTTCTTGAGCCACACAAAATGAAGCATTGGATATTGAACCTCCATTAAATGAAAGCTGCAACCCACAGAATCTGTCACCCGATCCGTCACTGCACCCATTGGAACCAGACCCGACCCGTTACTGTACAGTGTTTGGGCGGGAACACTGTACAATTTTTCTCTTGGCTTTGTATAATAGAAGATTCCTGATCCAAATTAGAAAATCTTTATAGGTTTATGAATTCCTACTTTTATTTTAATAGAATGTTTTTAATTGGATTGATTTCAGTTCCAGATTAAATCAGATCAGATCAAACTTTAATAATTATAACAATAAGTCACCTAAAAAACAGACATCTAATAGACCATATTAATTCATACTAAATCAAACCTGAAATTTTAATTCAATTAAAAACGTTCTTAGTAATGAGTAAAGTGTAAGATCTAACAATTAAGAAATATAGTTTTTTTTTATTATTGGGTTCATAACAATTATGTTTACTCGGTATGCTTATCTAGAAGACCAATTTAACTTTTTTTCATATATTTTTTTCTTTGTTTCACAAATGGAATATATTTCACATATATTTTTCATGATTCAGAAGATTCTACCTATTTAACCAGAATTCAATCAATTTTGGCAAAATAAGTTAATTCTATTTACTTTAGTATTATCAAACAGACTCTATATTAGACTAAGTTTATTTTTCTTTTAAATCACATTATATGTGATCTGATAGAAATTAAATTTTAAATTAGCTAAATTACATACTGCCCGTGCATCGCACGGGCTTGAAAGCTAGTTATATACTATTTGAGAAGTGGAATTCATAGTTGGAGTATGTGACTTTGTTACTTTCTTTGAGTCAGTGAAAGCATCGGTCAATTGAATTGCAACATTTTGTAAATGAATGATCTTTTGAATTTAAAATAAATTCGTTGCCTTCTAGGTAATATCTTTCATATGTGAGCTCATTTCTTTATTATCTCCCCCTAAGGCTTGAAATATTATCTCATTAAAATGACAGTCACCGAACCGTGCAATGAATGAATCACGAGTCATATATTCTAAATAGTTTATAATTAAGGAAGATTTAAAACCAACATAAATTTTCATCCTTCTTTGTGGACCCATTAAGTATACTCTTGATAGAGTTGTTGTTAATGGTGTGTTAATTACAATGGGAGAAGACTCCTATTCATAGCCATATAGGAGAAAGTGTGAGCTCATTCAAATCTTGAAATCATAAGTAGAAAATTTGTAGTCATAATTTAAACAAGCTGTGAAAAAAAAACATTACATATCTACATCCTCAACAGAATAAGACATGACCAAACAAGCAAAATAACATGTGTTAAAGAAAATAAGACTTTAACTCATTTAACGGAATGGGGAGATAATACCTAGTTCCCTTCCCACACAGTGCTAATTATTGGGGGGGGGGGGGGCATGGTTTTGAGACAAAATTATCCTAAACGTTAATAATTTATGAAGCACAAACCATGAGGGTAGGCATATATAGCCTTTCAATAATAAGAAACATGTGCATGCCATTGAGTATGAACTCATTGCTTCTGTCTAAAATCTCACCAATGCCGTTACTATAGATCACACAGGGCTTTAAACATTTGTTCTTTGATCATAAAAGGAAATACATGCTCATTACTTCCATCGTATGCGTATACATTCTTCCGGGGGGGGGGGGGGGGGGGGATAAAGAAAAAAAACTTATGCAATAAACTTTGCAGAATTAAAGGCCACATATGACATATCTAAAGACCAAAACGTATCGCAACGATAAAGTGTGTCTTTGATTGATGCAAAAGTGTGG